GTACAAAATCTTGATGCATTGGAGCAAACCGTCCATCAAGAATACCACACAATGCCTGACATAATATTCAACGTCTGATACAGTCAGTTAGGTGGAGGGTCAGGGATGTTAAGGCAGTTGGCGGAGGCCACCGAGATATGGAACACTGTGCTCCGTTACTGATACTAATGTGATTCCTTGAAGATTGTATGTCAGAATCTTGAAAACTACCCCCGCTTCTTAACGTCATACAACCATAGTTATTAGCACAACAAAAAGAGTCATTTTTACCATCTTTGCTTCTCTAAATTAACTACAATGTTTGGTTCATAAAATGCCAATTTATCAGAGAGTAAGTTAAATTGAGGTTTGCATAAGTTCCTTTGCTATGTTTTTTGGTAACATATTGAAAACCAGGAAAAAATATGGGCTGTTGCTATATTTTTTCCATGTGTGTATAGTGGAGATGGCGTCCCTTTCTGATATCTACCCTGATATTCCTTTGTGCACCGAGACAATCGTTTGTAAGTAGAATGTTTTTGAAGTTGATATTCAATACCTTTTGAGATAACGTTTTCGATAAATCAGTTTGTGTAAACTAATCCCCGTACTCACGTGTTCTTGAATCGGGCAGGGAAATCAGTTTGGTGTCGTACAATGGAAGTACAATGATGTTTGGTGTCTTACAATGGCAGTACAGTGATGTGGGGAATCAATGAGACAGCAGCACTGTGACCTATAGCCAGAGGCCCCTGTCTTCTCAACGCCACATCCTTAGAAAGAGGAACCCTGATTATTGTTGACATGGCTTTTTGTAACACTCACTTAGCAGAGCTCTCTTCATTATAAAACTTCCCTGCAACAGAAATGTTCCGTTGTGGCAACAAAGCCCAATCTGTCCCTTCCTGTTTTCATACATGCTCAATACCCGTCTCATTTGCCTGCCTTGGTGTTGTATTCCGAATCAATGCCTGTACTGTCATACGTTTATGCCCACACAATCATCCAGCCTATATATCGGGTTAAGCAAAAATGCACTTTTCTTTCTAAACAGAACCTTTAGGAATACTTCCTTTAACACACTGCGGAGTTTTGAAGGCCATTTATGTTCTTAGTCCGTTGTAAGTAATGAGAGACACGGCCGCAGAGGCCATTAAGTAAAATCAATATTTAAACAAATCCTTTTTGACTTGAGACGTGTCTGATAGCATGCGTGTGCTGAGACTGTGTTTAGGATGGTTACCTATGCAGGATACGATTATAATAAGTACCTGCTATAAGATATTATCTTGTTGTTTTTTTTCCACAAAAGTAAAGATGCATTTTAGCTCACCCAACCAGCTAAGTTTATGTTGCATTCCTCTGTTATTCAGATGTGTCTTGTTGACTTTCCAACATCCGAAACAGAAAATATATGAATCTGAAACCAAAATTTATTCTTGGACTTTTGTCAACACCAGGTGGCACTGCGTAATAAACTGGGGATGTTTCACTGTTACAATAAAACCTGAATAATATACTGAATATGATGAGATAATTATGATATACTGAGCATAGGTTGCATTTCATCCTAATTGGCGGCCATCTAGGATTTTCTGCCACCAGGGTTCACTGCTTAGGTGGATCCATATCCAGAAATATTCGGAATGGTTTAATATGTAAATGTGCCAAGTTTGGTGCTTTTAACCCCAAGTGCACATTTTTTTGCCGTAACCGCCCACTAGTTCTTCTGTGTCCTCTAAATTGTTTCCCATAATTCCGATATTATACACACCTGTTCCTTTTTCTTTAATCAGATTAATCTTGGTTCAGCATTTGTAGCATACTGGTTCGTGTCACCACACTGTGAATATTGCCATGTGGAATAAACAAAGGTTATGTGGAAGGGGACATCTATTCCTTTCGCCGACAACTTTGACGAATTTGATAAATAAATTCTCAACTGTGCACTTTTAGATGAAAATATACATACCATAGGTACACTGCAGATTAAAGGTCCATACAAGGGTGCCGTTGTAAAAAGTGATCTTAGCGCTAAGGTGATCGTAACTCCGATACCTTAACATGGACTTACGACACTCGCACGCTAAGTTTGCTTTGTACAACGGCACCGTGATCTCAGTGGAGGTAACTTGGTCATCTAAGGATTTTTGCTACCATCTTTTTCGGATTGCTTCAACTCCGTTTCGAACACAGGTGCGTTTCTCACATCAGTGCCGCAATCAGATAAAACCCACTGGCATAATACAATTTTTATTCCTAATATATGATATTAATGACACGGAAACACACTCGGTTAATAATTTCTATATCACGTATATTTACCTTCAACATCGTCACTGAACAAGTATATCAGCCAACGTCGTGACCCAACTGCAAAACATCCTGATCAAGAACCTACAAGTTTGGTGTGTGTTTTAGCATGTGTAGATTTTTAAAAGCGTTTAAATTTCAATAGTACAGCGACATATGCCAGAAGACTTGTGACGGATGCCCAGCGAAATATGCTTTACGTCAGATAATCCACATATGGCAATTGATATGCACATTTGTGTTGAATTGACCAAATAATCCACAGATGGCAATTGATATGTACATTTGTGTGTTGAATTGACCAAATAATCCACAGATGGCAATTGATATGTACATTTGTGTTGAATTGGCTAAGGCAATGAACCTGACAGTACTGATATATTTATTACAGTAACTGTATTGTAATCATAACAATTGTTATCAAAACTATTTGCATTGTTATAATATCTTCACGAAATTTGAGAATTTATTAATTGAGTATTAATTTGAGGCACTGAAACAGTATGTGTGGTGGTCACAGTTGCAACATTAAACTTATATCTCTAAATGCCAAGTTTTTGTCATGCAAAAATAGAAACAGTAACAGCGAGAAACCAAAATTAAAGATAACTCATTATTTTTTCACGAACAAAAACAACTACTCGATCATCCATACAATTGTATGCTTCGTTAACTACTCGATCACTGTTCGATGACTTGTAACATTCTTCTCTCCACCGTGTTGTGATAGAGAGAAAACCCTCACTATAAAAGCTGTTTACGACATGTCAGCTGTATTTAGTATTGGATGTTTCTATGTGACTTCCGTGATTTCTGGAAGCCGTCACATCTATTGTGGGTCCTCGTTCACCTGTAATTACCCCGGAGTATTAATCAATATCACGATTAGTACCGCTGATACCTACATGCCCCTGGAGAATACCTGATAATTACTGAAAGTAGAGTCGATCATCCATACAGGCCCCCCTCCACAGGGGGTAGGGTAGGTAGGGGTCACCACTGTCCCGGGGGCGGGTAGGTTTAGTTTCTCAATGTCCCGGGGGACGGTAAATCAGATGGGAGAAATGCTGAACAGATTAGGAACAAAACACTGCTTGACATGACGACAAAATGGCCACCTAATGTACACAACGCTGGAGTCGGCGGAACCCTGGAACACGCAAGTCTGTCATTGCAATGAGGGACAGTGATTGCTGGCGTCATTAGCGATGTTGTATCAATGCCTGTTTTACATGAAGACCAACATTAGAACTGCTGATGTTGCTCGATGTATTTATGAGCAAAGTGATGCTGCCGATGATGATGTGTCTGAGATCTGTAGGTGATTACGTACATCAGAACATGCTCCAATAAACACACTTTTCCATATGTTCTGCTTTGCATGTATGAATAAATTACGGCTTGATAGAGTGTACACAACATTCTAACTATGTGAACAACTGTACAATCGGACTGTGAAAATGTGCAACTACCGCTGTCCGACTGTGGAAAATGTCCACTGTCTGACTGTTGACAACGATATGGCTCGTCCGCTGTTAGATGATGTATCATGTTATGTTTGGGTTCTGTCAACATATTCTTCTTTGCCTTCAGTTAAATTTCGATGTTATTTCGCTGTTATGTGTTCATATCGAATTCAGCCGAGAATTAAAATGTTTTACCACATTCTAATATTGCCAGAACACGTAGGCAGAGTAAGTCCGAGAAAGTCGGATGTAGTCACCAGTGACATAAACACATGCAGTCAGATGTAGTCATATATAGTCAGACACAGGCAGACATAAACGAACACAATCGCTGGCAGATACAGTCAGATGCAGTCATATATCGTCAGACACAGTCACATGAAATCAACTCTGCAAACGCAACAAAGCAATTGTAACTGGTCTTTAAAAGTACGCAGGGAAGATCTTGGCGTTATTTGATCAGTTATAAAATCAAAGCTGTACTCGAAATAACTGCTCAGTACTATAATTCGCGTTGTGTTCAACATGACTGATCTGTCAAAATCAAAGTTGTACTCGAAATAACTGCTCAGTACTATAATTCGCGTTGTGTTCAACATGACTGATGTGTTAAAATCAAAGTTGTACTCGAAATAACTGCTCAGTACTATAATTCGCGTTGTGTTCAACATGACTGATGTGTTAAAATCAAAGTTGTACTCGAAATAACTGCTCAGTACTATAATTCGCGTTGTGTTCAACATGACTGATGTGTAAAAATCAAAGTTGTACTCGAAATAACTGCTCAGTAACATAATTCGCGTTGTGTTCAACATGACTGATGTGTTAAAATCAAAGTTGTACTCGAAATAACTGCTCTTTAACATAATTCGCGTTGTGTTCAACATGACTGATCTGTTAAAATCAAAGTTGTACTCGAAATAACTGCTCAGTAATATAATTCGCGTTGTGTTCAACATGACTGATCTGTTAAAATCAAAGTTGTACTCGAAATAACTGCTCAGTAATATAATTCGCGTTTTGTTCAACATGACTGATGTGTTAAAATCAAAGTTGTACTCGAAATAACTGCTCAGAAACATAATTCGCGTTGTGTTCAAAATGACTGATCTGTTAGTTCTTCATGCTGTAGACGACATAGTTGCTCAGTTACATGCCTGATGTTGTCTTCAAGAACATGTCGTTCACGTTTCTTGTCACAATGGCTACATGTTGAAGTAACCTCTCTTCTGCATCTTTCAGCTACAACATGTCCACCGCTCCAACTCGACTCGTCTCTTGTGGCTGATGATAACGTCACTTCCGTCCCGGCTGGTGATGACGTCAACGTCACGTGTGAGATTGGCTTCACCTTGCCAGACGGACAGAAGATACAGACCCTCCACTGCCAGCCAAACATAACAGGCAATGCATCATGGGATGTGCCCTTACAAAGCTGTTCACGTACGTTGTCTGACTCCCAGTCATGTGAACACTGTCGAAAGTTACCAAAGGCAAATAAGATTTAAGAGGACAAAGACCATTTTAGGTTGAGCCCTATCCGGACTCAAACTCTGCTTCAGGTACGGGTACCTACTAGCCATCACACAAAGTTAGCTCTCTAAACCAATCAGCCACTACGACTTCCACAAAATTTAAGTCTGACAACCGGTAGTGAAGATCACGTACTTTGTGTCCGACTTCCATTTTGTTCAAACGGCGGTGAGTGAATCGGTTAGTGTGTTGGCTATTTTATTATTATTATTATTATAGGATATTTATATAGGCAACTAGTGCATGCTCAAGGCGCTGATATTTGGCTATAGTGTGTTGGCTATTAGGTTTCTGACTCAGAGTGTGGGTTCGAATCTTCACGCCAATGCCCCGGGTTCGATTCCTCACATAGGTACAGTGTGTGAAGCCCATTTATGGTGTTCCCCATCGTGATATTGCAGGAATATTGCTTAAAGCGGCCTAAAACCTGTTTTCACTCACTTGGTCATCGCTACAACCGCAGAGCGTCTTAGACAAAACTCGCCCACCAATCAACATTGCCCATACATTCCCCTTGTCTCAAGTGATGACTCGGCATTTATAACACTGAATGTTCAGAGTTACAGACAGACTTCTCCTCTATTTGGTGCCCATGTTTGGTCTAATTCTATACCGTGTAATAAATGGGTTGTGTCACAGTTGTCATAGTGCGTGTTTGTGTGTATATACTAAAGTACTAAATAGTGTTTAGTGTTTATGTATATGGTCGATTCCAACGAAAAGTGTACACAGCATGTTTGGGCCCATAACAATTTAGCATTACTATCTTCACTTATTTCGGGGTGCCCATCACATCGGCACAAGTGAGACGATTCGGGCCATATATACTCATGCCAATAATGGTTATCACCCCCCTGTTGCTGTTTCCACAGATGAACACATTAGTGAACGATATCCTAAGTTCAAGAGCAAAGGGCCATAAGGTATACGTGTACCACATCTGAACAGTTTCTGTGCTGCACACAAAATAACCGGTATTTGTAGGTAAATTTTAACTCCCAAATGTTACCTGCAAGTACCAACAACTGATCACATTCAAATAGATTGGTGGAATGACAACACGTGACATGACATCATAGATGAGACCAGACAACATGTTGCTGATTAGTAAGTGTATGTTACATTTTCTGTAAGAATGTTATGTAAATAAACCCATGTCACAATGACATAGGATGTATATGACACCTGTTACAACTAATCAACTTTAATTTTAGTGAGGTTTTAAGTCTTATTATTGTTAAAAAAGGCCTCAGACTGCAAGTGGAATTGGCATGGGGGCTCAAATTGGTAAGACATGGTGTCCCGCTGGGATTCGTCCCGGATGTGGCTCACGGTATTTGTACGTAACATGTATTCGTTGTTAACAAAATGAAATAGAGAACACAATACGCTACTATAACATAACCTATACTGAAGACAATTATTGCAGATCATAAATAAACTGATTAGGTCCGCAGTACTGCAAATTATCAGATTGAAATCGTTCCTTGGAATTTCAAATGGCTACATAACTGAACGTTCAATAAAAATGTTCCATTCAGGGATGCACTGTTCGTGGTTTAGACTTTATTATAGTGATATAATGAATTCTTCTCGATTGAAATGTCAGAAAACAAGTTGATCTTGTTGATAAAAGTAAAAGTTTGCATGATATCACGCGATAAACGGTAGATTTGTTGGTAACATGTGTATTCGTTGGTAACATTCCGTATTTGTAGGTAACATCAATCAGTGTGTTTGAAGTTGTAAGTCTTGTTCAGGGCTGTCACCGATCCACTTGCGAAAATAGGAGAATTGAGACTGTAGTAGAAGGAAGTTGCATGGGTTTAGTTATAGATTTGTGAAAGGTATGTCGTATTCGTAGGTAGCTCGTTTTTGTAGTCGAAATTTTCTAGTAAATGTCTATCTAATAGCAATTGTCATTGCAAAATATGGGTAATTAAAGCAGAGTTATAGTTCAGTAAGACGTATAATGTATTGATTGTTTTAGTGACATGTTTATCTGTACATAATGGTATATGGTATACGGTAATAGTTCAAACGTTTTAAACATTTGTGATGTGCTTTGAATACAAATGTCAGTTGAAACATTTGGTAAATAAAATTTCAGGTGTATTGATTTTAGTTCAATTTCTATATTTCTCATCAAACGTTTAGACTCACTAGTGTAGATATAGCCACTTTCTTCAGGCGACTGTTTTAAACTAAAGTTTGCAAAATATTCCATACTGTTTAAAGGAACTGTTTACACATGAACTGATGTATTGTAAAACAAATTCGTAACTTAGAAAACATTATTGTCATGAGTTCAATAAATGATAAAAATCAGTGAAAATTTGGCGAATTCTGAACAAAACTTTACACCAAAATGCAGCTGTTTACATGTACGATTTTTGCACATGCTTTTCAGCAATTTGATGCATGATCCTGGTGCAATTCATCTGCATAAGGTTTGCAGTTGGTATATATATAAAGAAAGTGATGCGAATACCGAGCGTACTGTTCGATGTTTTAATAAACCAGCTATGATTTAGTTTGACATATATAAACATTTATGAAATACAAGGAATTATGTGATATTTGTTACCGTCAAGTACACTATAGAACAAACTTTATGGTTAACAACTTCTTTTTATTCGTGAGTGCTCTCACGAATAAAAAGAAGTTGTTAACCATAAAGTTTGTTCTATATTGTACTTCCCAACTTCTAAAATGCCACTCAAAGAAGTCAAGTACATTGTTTTTATCTTCCACCGAAAATTTAGTTTTTGATGCATTTTCAAATTTGTTGTACTTACCGAAAGTTCTACCCGTTGTCTCTCAGATGAATAAGATAGATATGTAATAATGATTTGTTTGTGAAAAGAACGCTAAGTGGTGCTATCTCACTTACATCATACAAAGGTACCAAAATGGTTCTATTTTCGTAAAGCTTGAGGCTATAAAACATGAAAGAAACCATGATATGTCTTCAGAGTTTCTATAGTCATTAACATATTGTGCACGCAGAACAACAGTGAATTTGGAACAACATACAATCCATCTAGTCACAGGATATACAAGGTATGATGTTGGTATTTGTAGGTAATTCAGAAAATGAGCCTTCAACTTCACCGATCCACCAGCTTGTCACTTTTAGAGATTAGTGATGGCAACTGATTTTCATAAGAGGCAAATATGTTGATTTCACATTGGTAAAAAGAATTACAAGGTGCAAGCAATTCTGTTTTCGACCCCTTGTACCTAGCTGTGTACACCTTTCGTTGGAATCGACTATATATGTGTGGTTGTAGTTGTGTGTGTGTGGTTTTGTGTGTGTGTGCGTGCGTGCGTGCGTGCGTGCGTGCGTGCGTGTGTGTGTGTACGGGAGTTTGTGTCTTTGTGTTTGTGCACGTGTGCCTGTGTTCGGGAAAACTGGAGAACTGTGAAAATGAACCAAGAACATTCGCGCGTGTTTGTGTGTCCGAAATATCAACGCCAACTCGAACACTATTGTCTCGCGGACATTTAACATCGTAAAACGCACATAAGACCATGCAGCCATATGATTTCAACAGTATCTGTTCATGAGATACATTTGCATTAGGACACATTTGCAGTCGAGGGGCCGTATATGCGACGGCCTATCGTTATATTTGGAGTAGAAGTAAAGGTCAATAGATCGTGAATTGTATTTCTGTCGTTGATGTTTGTTATAGTTATTAGGGCCCCTTGCCTCCAGGCAGGAGACCTATTGTAATCGTTCGGATTATTATTATTATTATTATTATTTATTATTTCGCCGATTTTTGTACCAAACATAACTCCGTATCGCTTACAAAAAATCACACAGATGCGCACCGAGGTGTAGATATATGCCCCTTAAAAATCTCTAGGCTCTAGGCCCAATAGCAAAGGGGAGATAATTCAAAATTAATTCCAAAATGTCAAAGTTTGACAGCAAATATCTCAAGAACTAATTGTTCCTACACTTCTAAATCTCTTGTACAGACGTACAATCGAATTCCCAACAATTTTGCCTCACGGTTCAAGTCGTTAAAACGTACCGTTTGGCAGTTATTTTTGTTTTCAGTTTTGGCCATGTTTTTCAGCAGTTTTCTGAGTAGTTTGCTCCCAAACTGTGCAAATTCTGCCTGTGCCAGTATGGTAGATGCAGGCTTGGTGATTCCAGAACACTAATTGTTTTGACTTTAGACCCAAGAACAACTGAGATACAGCCTATTAAAAAAGGAACTATTACCTCTCCGGAACTTCTTAAAAGGAACATCACTCACGCGACCCCGGCTGTTTTTGGAAGATCCGCTCGCCTGTCAAAAACGTGTTCTGGCTCCGTTTTGGATGATGATTTCTAGCCCTCAGATACAATAGATAGAAGTAAAGCCGGGGAGCCCTCATCGTTGCCTGCAACTATATTATTGGAACTTGTCATTGTAATCGATTGTGTGGAATGATGCAGGCCAAAGAATGAAATCATAAGTGGATCGAAATATTTGTGACATGTAAAAATATTTGAATTCACTTTGCAGGATAGAGGCAGTTCCCGCCAGGTTGATTCAGTTCATACAAAACTCTGTTCTCATGTGTCACAACCTGGTTTAATACTTCAGCAATTATGACAGATCATAGATATGTCAATATGTCATATGATATGATTCGGCTCAAGATAAACAACTCATGCAGTAAATGTGCGTGTATATTTTACTCTGTAATCAATTACTGTTGGCAGTCGCTAGGTGCATGGCAAATGTTGACACCTAAGAATGCCTGGAATACACATGTCACCGATTTACAGGAATCCAGTTACCTGGTTACATCAATCAGCAACCAATCACCTTGTCTGATGGGTTAATGTATGGCACGGGGAACTATACCGGCCACAAAACTGCGTTGTTAAAATGTTTCTAAATTTGAAATTATGACAACAAAAGTGTCCCTCTAACCTATAAATAGGTAGATTTTGAGATATCAGCATGTTTAATGGCCATGGCATTGGCGTTACGAGTCCAAATATGGGGCAGGGGTCAAGCAACAATAACACAAACTCAATAACGGGTATGCTCACCAACACTTAGAACAGCATCGCCGACTTTATCAAATGGACATGAAAGCCTTGTGGGATGACTTGTCACATTCTCTGCAACACTTAGAACAGCATCGCCGACTTTATCAAATGGACATGAAAGCCTTGTGGGATGACTTGTCACATTCTCAGCAACTCTGTTCCCAAAATACGAACTTTATCTTGCTGATTTGATGCACGGCGTAAACGTCTATCCACACATATGTACTTTATTGGAGCGATCTGGTGAATGTACCGGCCAAGGCAGTACTTGAACGTGGTGTTGAAGGAAAGGCGTAGCGATCCTTACCATGTGAGGGTGGGAATTATCCTGTTGGAACGTCAATCCTGGGTCATGACGTTGGAGAAACGGAATTGACACTGGTCCAAAAATCTTATCTCAGTAGAAGGCGTACTCTGCATCCCAAACCTGTCTGACTGTTTTAAGACTAAAGGGGTTTTCTGACGGGCACTTATACCACAAAGCGATTCCTCTCCATGAAACCGGTTTCAGCATAACGGTTCCGGAGATGCCCGTCACTACGGGGAATGCTACTCTGGACTCGTCTGTCACAAGCAACAGTCCTCCAGCACTACCGAGGGTGACGAATATTATTATTTCGGCACCTCCTTTGATGACGTTGTCGATACAGGTGGTGTAGCGGGACGACGTGGCCGTATCCCGTAAGCGGTTCCTGACTGTGTCGGGGTGGATACGCCGAAGTCCTGGAATGATCTGAGCAGCGGCCACTGTAGTCTGGAACCTGTGCCGGAGATGGGTCGCCGGTTTCAATCTGGATGGCGTTGTGGGGGATAGGTGACTTCATTATTGTTCTGATAACAACAGTGCTGAAACGGTCTTGACGGCAGTGGAAATACGCAGTCGTAGCATGATATGCGGTTCATTAGCCGAGTCATTGTTTAAATGATCGAACGTCAAACAAGTATTCTTCTAAATCCTCTCAATTTATCGAGATGCACACACAAAAACATGTTGCAAGTACCTATGCCCTAACCACTGACGTCACGAAATGCATCACATGCATATGTGTTCAATATGTGTTCAATTTCATGTACACATATGCATCCTTATCCTTATGTTTCTATATTTGTGTACTCAAGTAGTTCCAATATTTATTTCGATTCGTTTCTTTTTGTGGCCAGTGTAAATAATAACATTTTGGTTCACACATCAATGGAAAACATATATCACTACGCAAGATAGATATGTAAGACTTCGAAAAGTTTCTGACAAAATGATAAATAGAATTCACACCTTGTATTTTTTAATGTGGGAAATATCAACCTCATCTCTCGTCCTTGCCAAATGCTTGACGAATAGCGAAGAACTAAGAATAACAAAATTTTCCTATATTAAAAACTCTCGTGATGAATCCTCTTTAGAGTGATATTAACAATTTTCCAAACAACCCATTTATATCCCAAACGGTGTGTGTCATCTGTTTACATTCATGTTGTTTGTTTTCAGCCGTGACGTGTACAGTTATCCCGGAAGTGACGAGTGCCCACGTCACGTACAGCTCGGTGACGTACAGAAGTGTCCTCTCTATAACGTGTGCTTCAGGAAGCTCACGGGACATCTACCCCTCCCGACTCAACCTGTCCTGCAACGCCACAGGGGACTGGGAGGTGCAGGACGTCAACACCACCATCCTTGACTGCCTATGTAACTGCACTGCTTCTACAACATCTGTCAACCATGTCCCTTGTTTAAAATGATCTTCACTAAACCATCTGTTGGAGGGTTAAAATGGGCCTATACTCCTGGACACCGCTATCTGGGCAATGTCCCTCAAAGCGATCTAAGCATTAAAACGATCATAACTGCCTCGAATTTCAGTTTCTGCAGTCAAAGCCGTTTTGCTTAACGATGACTCATTGTGAAGCCTTTTTCTGGTGTCCCCCGCCTTGATATTGCTGGAATATTGCTAAAAGCGGCGTAAAACTAAATTCAGGCATTCATTCACTATAGTCGCTTCTCTTTGTTGCATGTTTCTTACAGGTCTTGGTTCGAATCCAAAATCAGCACCCACGTTCATTAAGCTGTTTAAGACACACTACAAGCGTCGGCGGTCATTGTGATTATTCGTTTCCCTTAAAACCTTGAAATGTAGTGTATCTCTTTTGGCCTATTGTAAAGAACATGTTTGGTTTCTTGCTACTCTAATGGGCACTCAGTGTACACCTCGTGTGGTCGTAAGATAAGTGCATGACCAGGCAGTGTGCTTTGTCACCGGTTGGGATATTGCGACGGAAACCTTTTTACCTTTCAGTAATACACTGTTCAGAGTAGCGCCCCTTGGTCATGCAAGAATTCTCGGATAGCCGAATCGAAAAGTCGTATGAATTATCTTCACTGCCTTGTCCGCCCTATATTTACACACATACTAACCCCTACTCCTTACAGCTTTCCTCTCGCTCTGTCACCTAACTGTAGTACTGTTTAACGGCGTTAAACACAACAGAGTTACGACAATCCTGTTTTAGTGTGATTGTATTCTTGGCTGACCCGATTATTGTAGAACTTGTTTAATGGTCACAAAGTGTTTTTTCACTGATCCCGCATCTTCTCTCCTCTGCTAGATGGAAGAAACAGTTACGTGGGGTGCCTACAGCCCTTACCCGGCGTTCTGGACGTGTCCCTCCCAGCTGTTAGTAGCCACAGTCACTGTGTTCTCCACTGCAGGAATACTAACATGCTCTACAGTGGCTTTCAAGGAGGAGATTGCTACTGTGGAAACCTCACAGCGTTCGGCAACAACGTGAACAACTTCGACTGTAACACGACATGTGGATACAACGCCGACATCATGTGTGGAGGATCAGACGGAAGGATGAGCGTCTACATGACATTTGGTGAGTTACTTTCTCATTGTGAACAAGGTGCCGGCTCAGGGTTGCTCTGATCCCTGATAGAAGCACCTTCTGCTGTATCTGATAATACGCTGTATTGCGGAACTAACCCGGAAGCGTTCGCTGGACATGACTGATTACTTAAAGGCAGAGAACTGTATATTCTAAAATAAGCACAATACTCCAAGAATGACACAGGGACGTTGTAGCAAGACATGTGACAGTTACGTTGTAGCAAATATGTGACAGTGACGTTGTAGCATGACATGTGACAATGACGTTGTAGCATGGCATGTGGCAATGACGTTGTAGCTTGACATGTGACAGTGACGTTGTAGCATGGCATGTGACAGTGACGTTGCAGCATGACATGTGGCAATGACGTTGTAGCATGACATGTGGCAATGACGTTGTAGCATGACATGTGGCAATGACGTTGTAGCATGATATGTGGCAATGACGTTGTAGCTTGACATGTGACAGTGACGTTGTAGCATGGCATGTGACATGTGGCAGTGACGTTGTAGCATGACATGTGGCAATGACGTTGTAGCATGACAGCATGACATGACATGGCAATGACGTTGTAGCATGACATGTGGCAATGACGTTGTAGCATGATATGTGGCAATGACGTTGTAGCTGACGTGACATGTGACAGTGACGTTGTAGCATGTGCATGACGTTGTAGCATGGCATGTGGCAATGTTGTAGCATGACATGTGGCAGTGACGTTGTAGCATGACATGTGGCAATGACGTTGTAGCATGACATGTGGCAATGACGTTGTAGCATGACATGTGGCAATGACGTTGTAGCATGACATGTGACAGTGACGTTGTAGCATGACATGTGACAGTGACGTTGTAGCATGACATGTGACAGTGACGTTGTAGCATGACATGTGACGCATGACATGACAGTGACGTTGTAGCATGACATGTGTTGTAGCATGACATGTGACAGTGACGTTGTAACATGACATGTGACAGTGACGTTGTAGTTGTAGCATGACATGTGACAGTGACGTTGTAGCATGGCATGTGACAGTTCCTGTGTAGCATGTTACTCGTATTCATTAGCTTCCTTCGTGGGACAGGACTGTGACAGTGACGTAACATGTTACTACTATACAGTAGCTTCTAAAGCGAGACAAGCTAAGTGGCAGCATGTTTTGTGTTACAGTGTTTTGATAATATGGCTCAACATTAATTTCATTACAGATGGCTGCTACTCCATCACCAACTCGAGCGTCTTCGCGTCAGCATTTAAAACTACTGGTAGAAATTATGAAACATGTAAGGAATACTGTCGTGGACTTGATTTTCCTATTGCCATGGCAACTCGATCCTACCTATGCAAGTGCACTAACACAACGTCTGGTATCATTGCTGAGTCTATCCTAGAACCCACGTGTACTTTGTCTGTGAAACAACTCGGGGAATCATTCAACGCCGCCACAACCGTCCGTGTCTGGACCCTAGGTAAGTGATGGAGAGACGGCCAGTGTCCAGTTGGGACTGGTCCACTTTCATGTAGCGTTCATACAATGTGGCAGGTCGCGGGTTCGATCCCCGACCGCGTCATACCAAAAGACGTTAAAATATGGTACTTGTTGGTCCCTGCCTGGCGTTCGGCATTAATGGGTACAAATAGGACTGGTCGGCTCGGAGTCAGTATAATGTGTCTGAGTGGGGTATTCATGCTTCAGTGCGGCATGGTATCTCAGTGGGCTAGCACTATAAAACCAGCTTCAGTCTGGGCTAGTACAAGCAGCCGCACATACACATACACACGTATGCACGTCGTCATATGAGCGAAATATTCTCAAGCACGACGTTAAACCCAATTCCACCACCACCACCATCATACAATGTGGCACACTGTCTAGTGTTTGGTCAACGGTTTAGTGGTAGGTATTAAGGCTAGTGTCTTACCAAGTGTCTAGTGCATGTGTGGTCCAATGTCTAGTGCCTAGACCACCGTCTAGTGCCTGGTGGATGGTCCAGTGTCTGCCCCGCCGTCTACTTGTACACAAATAATTCAAATGGACGAAAAAATTCTGACTTGACCGTACGTTCCTGATTCAACCTTTCGACCTGATGATTCTGGAGATATTCATCACGTATATTTTGTTATGGATATTTAAAAAAATTAATATTACTCAACAGAGCGGGAGCCCCTGTTGGCCGACAGCTGCAACAGGCTCTACAAGAGTGGCATCTGCATGCATGGCGACTACTACATCTCCAACAACACCAAGACCTACTGCCGCTTTAATGGTAAACCCAAATACCATTTGTGTCACCTATTTTACGGACGTTTTATCCACAGAATCCATTAAGAAATAAAACTCAACATTAGAAAATACAACACTAGTATTAAACACAACATTAGAAAATATGAACATTGCATGAAGACGTTTTTCACATCAAAGAAAGCTCAGTATTACGATGATGCTCGTGAAATACAATTATCATAAGGCTAATCGCCCTTTAGAAATATAACATGATGAAGACTCCCAAGCTTCACTTAACATCACGAAGATGGTTATACTGACAGAACGAAGCACCTACAAATATGTCTACTGACAAATTTATAAGCCAGAATATCTACGTTTCTTTCGATCTTAAAAGACAATCACGCAATGTTTATTAAATATTGTCAACTTCACAGGTTAGTTTCTAACATAAATATAACTTCTCAAACATATATTACTTGTGGTGCGTGTCTACATTCCACTGACAGGTCTCATACCCTAAAACCGATTGAGCAGCAAATCTCGCGGCACTATGTGGGACAGACCCAGGGCAGCCACAATTAGGAAACCTACTTCTCCCTACTACTGCGTCATTGGTCGTTAATATTTGTACAAGGCGGAGCCTGTACGCCTGACAAACTAAACCCCTCCCGGACGTTTAGCAATTTTAATTGAATTTATGTCGTAGGTTCGCGCAGTGTCAGTATACGAATTGTTTTTTTCCATTGAGACTTGAGACACACACATATACATCCATACACTCACAGATACATGCACAGTTAAACACGTGAGGAATTTAGTGTGACCTAGTGTTCATGTGATTGTAGACAACACTATGTGCGACCAATACTGGATCGGATACAACGGCAGCTGCTACCACTTCAGCAACTTCACCGCGACGTTCAACGACTCCTACAGCTACTGCCTGTCCCAGAATGCTCACCTTGTGGTCATACAGTCGACAGCGGAGCAGGACATTCTGCGGGACGCATTCGGAAGTACGTCAAACGTCCAGTCACTGCCGTCTTTACCTATGTCTACTTACATTTGAATTGATTTGTTTGTAATAGAACCATAATATAGTGCCAGCATGACTGGCTAGTATCTCGTACCCCTTGTTCAGCACCGGGCATAGACTGTGGTCCACAATCCATTTTTTTATCAAATGCCTGTTGAACGGTCCACTTCCTGGTGCCTGATCCACTGCTGAATGACTCTTTTGCCCAGTTAATGATCCAGTGCCGGGTTTTTGATCCACTTCCTGGTGCCTGATCCATTGCTGAGTGACTCTACTGCCCAGTAAATGTTCCAGTGCCGGGTGTTTGATCCAGTGCTAGATGATTGATCTGCCTGTCGGTTGATCCTTTGCTTCGTGACTAATCGTCCTCCTAGTGATAGATCCACCGCTTAGTGATTGACCATCTTTCACATGATCATCCACCGTTTATCGATTGATCCACTCCTTATGATTGATCCACTCCTTATGATTGATCCACTCCTTATGATTGATCCACTCCTTATGACTGATCCACTGCTTATGATTTTTTAAATGATATCAGCACTTTGGATTCATTGTTTGGAAATCACGGATTGGTTCCAATGAACAATTAACATCGTCAGAGTATCGTCAAAATACAAGGCGACTAATACGAATGTTTGCATTCAACCCACATACTCTAAAGTCACATGCAATAAAGAGTGTCACTGATAAAACTTAAAAAAACCCCAACACAACCATTTGACTCATTACCAAGAGGTTATTTTCTTCCAGACTTTCTGAATTTCCACTCTTCAAAGGCTGCCTGGTATGTTGGCCTGTACGACGCTCGCTCTAGCGCCTCCTTCCAGTGGACTGACGGCGGCCTCCTGTCCTACACCAACTTCCCCAGCAGCGAACCCAGTCGGCCCTTCGAGGCGCGATGTGTGGTAGTTGCCCTCGAGGATGACGAATATAGCTGGTACGACCGCCAGTGTAGTGATGAAGACAACTTTATCTGTGAAAACGCCAAGGTACAGTAACTGCACGACTAAAGTATCGGTGCAATATCAAGTGATCTGTATTAAGTTAACCTAACTTAGAGTGAGTGAGTTTTAACATTCCAGCTATTTTAGCTGGTCAGCTGGGGAGCAGGCTTTAGACGTTTACCACCTTTGGGAACTCAAGAGTACGGGTGAGGTGCAGACAAATCTAGACAATTAGCCGGGGTGAACTGCGGTTTCGAACCCACAAACATAGGTTTCTGGTGTGTTCAATGGACGAATTACTGTACAGCAACTTGACGACCTGGTCGCACGCACCCCCTCAAAGTAAGTGGACGTTATAATTTGCGAAATCAAATGTATCGGAGTTCTCCCTTTGTTACTTTACTTCAAATACATCATTGAAGGAAAACAAAAATGATACATAGTATGTCACACGTGTTGGTGTGTTCTAATGGCGCCTTATTACTATGTTTTATGTTTCAGATTGGTATTACGGGTGTATCAAAGTGACAACAACAGACCTGAGCGTGACCTTGACCCATGAGGTCATGACTCTGACTCTCTGTTCGCAGGAGTGTTACTCATTGTCACGTACATACTCCGCTGTCAGCAACACGACATGTTTTTGCTTTGATACAGTTCCCAGTCACGTGACGCTCGACTGGTCGTCATGTGACGTACGATGTCCTGGTCACACGTTTCAGCCGTGCGGTGGCGCGTCCGCAGATCCAGAAAAGACGGTCATTTTCGTCACAGGAGGAGGTAAAAACGGAGGGATCTCTTTTGATCTGTTATGGGCGATCACATGATGGTATTGATTTAAATCAATTATCACCACCTCACTAGTACAATGAGTGGTTGGCATTTTACCGGGCTGATCCTGTATGTTAATAATGGTTCCACATATCGTCGAGTTGATAAACCGCTATACATGGACACGATATATGTCTCGAATTATAGGAATTAACTGGAGCGCCACTCCATTATATTATGTTGCAGTGGGTCCTGATTTCAGTTCTCAAGTAATAGCTGTTGTCAACGCGATCTTCACTGAGACAGTCCTTCCCATTTCAGTATTATTACAAGTCTCCTTACAGGGTCGCCCCCACCTCCGGCAGAGGGCTGTGAAGAGCTTGAGTTACAGGGCCTCACAAACGATACGTTCATTACATCACATGGTGAAGTGACGTGCACAATAAGTAGTAAGTGGCATTAATCCACATTTTGGATATAGAGGAATTGCTTTCCTGAAACGCCTTCAATGTATTTGTGTAGCTCTTTCACCGAGTCAACAATTGTTACTTTTCCTGAAGTTATTTTATTGCTCAGAGACATTTTCTCTTTTTTCGATTGTATTTGTATCCCTTGTCTTTCTCTGTCTCACATTCTATACCTTTTCAGATGGAGTTCAGTGCCCGTTCTCCTGGGTCAACATCGATGGTCACTGCTATAAGTTCATGGTCGGCAGAGCCGCCAACCCTTCAGCATCATGTAGCAAACTGGGAGGCTATGTAATCTCACTGACAGATGAGCACGAACTTGCTCAGATCCGAGATGTGATCAACAGGGCTTCAACTCTGCGTTACTTGGACTGGTGGTTGACGGGGCTAGTAGACAACGACATGAACAGCGTGTACCGCTGGAGTAACGGCCAGGTCTTCAACTCATCAGCGTTTGAAATCTCCGTGACCAATGACATGAGCTTCTTCGCGTTCAAAGGGACGGCAGCACCCCGAAACTGTCCACAGCAAAGCCCCAGCAAGACACCCTTCATTTGTGAGAAGGGCGAAGGTGAGAATACCCAATCCCTGCTCGTAACTGATCTTTCAGCTAGTGTTTACCATACATAACATAAACCTAATAATAGTGAGTGTTTCCTGCAAGTTTGCAATATATTACACGCGGTGGAGAATTCTTTCATTGTCATTGTAATTCCAGTGGTATTGCAGTAATTGAGATTAACAGGAAGACATGTAAAATGTTACTCATCAAGTTTAATAAAAAAATAAATGAGTGAATACATTTTGTCTTATGTATTATATTGACAGTTATTCATTTCGAAACTATCTCCCCAATTAGATAATAGCGTAACCCTTCTTGTGTCGTTTCCCGTATCTGGGGCGACAGCGAACTAGACCACGAGAGGCTAACCGCATTACGACACACGATCTCGCTACATTAAATTTCCGTGATTCATTGGAAGTCAACATAGGCCTATGAATGAATCTCGGAAATTGAACAAACGAAACTATTTATCTTCTAAATGAATCGTTGTATACTTCATAATAACAATGACTCAGTCAGGAATGTTACACGATAGGTTTTGTATATATCGACCCGGGTCCGAGTTAGATGAGACCAGGCTCGGTGATAGTGTTTCATCACTGGTATCCTGGATGTGTTGGAGCTTGCACATGATGTCAAAAACGGGGTTGTCTGAATACTTCCAAGCGGTCGTTATGTAACTTTATTATCATGAAACAGTTGCAATGTTTATGTTATTCCAAACTCCACAGATCTTCAAATTCCTGTTTTACTGTGCATGTTTTTGAGGAGTGTAGCATCGATATATGACCGTCATGATGCAGATATTAATTCACTCAATCCGCGTAAGAATACATACAAAACAGATAACTTGTGATTGAGATTATTCATAGTACAAGTTCCGAGGTCTGTGCACCGTCTGGGGAACTGGCCATGTATGAGTGGGTATCAGTGAAACCGTGATACACTTTAGTTATGCTCATATCATCTGTGAATACACAAAAGAGTTTCTTGAACGTTAAATCAGTGATACATACATAATACAAATGGGCAATAAGAGCTTTTATAATGTTGCTAAGACACATTCTAGGAGACTTCAGTATGAACACTAAATACTTCTATTTCATGTGTTTAGATTACGTGGGTTGTTTCGACGTACCGACTGAGGCGGCCATCTTGGATAACTATGACGATATGACCATACCAGTCTGTGTTGAGCTCTGTAGGGGTCAAGGTCAAAGCTATGCCCTGCTTAACGTCACATCCTGTTGGTGTAGCAACAACATCTCCACGGCGATAGCCATATCGCCAGCATCGTGTACATCTTTCTGTCTGACTGACAAGGGCCAGCCGTGTGGAGGACCCGCGCATGTGTCCGCCTACAGTGTCGGTGAGAGTGTTCACTCTTGTCAATAGAGTACACCCTATGTTACATTAGCAACATAGGGTTAATTGGGAAATTACTGCAGCTGGGTGAAATTATCTTAAATCAATGTTTTAGGGTAAGTGTGCTGGCTTTATTAATTCCCTGTAGCACACAGCCCCCGTCCTTCTGGTTTCAGCAAGGTGCCCTTCTGTCGTGTTCTGATCCTATGTCTTTGATACCACGTAAAATGTTAACTCAATCTCATGTCATGGCGAGCAGAATTTCTTGCACTTGCTGTACGTGATCACTGCACCTTCCCCATGTTTGTCCTCAGAACGGACAGAGACCTCTGCATATTCCACTGACTTGACACTGTGAAATTATTTGCTCAACTGATTCCCGTTGCAACTGATACCTTTGTCAAGTCATGCAATGTCTTAAACAGATGACTTCACGATACGCAATTATATTCTGCGTTGGGCTCAAAATCAGTTAACCTTCGTAACTCATAATATTATTCTGTCTGTTTTGCATTCGCGACACCCTCGACTATGGATGACACCATATACCATGTGGGGTAACTTCAGTCTGTAACATGGAGAACAGAACTTGTATTTTATATGTCAAAGACGGCTTGAGTAGGAAAATGGGAAAACTATTATGTTATATATGTAACAATGTGAAAGCATGTGTGCGTAATAATGGTGTTATGTCATCAACATTTGATTGCAATGTCGGTGTACGCCAAGGCTGTATACTAAGCCCATTTCTGTTCATATTCTATATAAAATGAATTAGCGTCAGTTGTGTATCAAAATTGTACAGATGGTATTCAGTTGCACCCGGACATTGTTAAGGTATTTTTGTTATTGTTTGCTGATGATGTCATCATGCTCTCAAGTACAGTGAATGGTCTACAAAACAAATTACTTGCTGGAAAGCCATTGCCGTGAATTTAAGCTTAATATAAATGCAAATAAAACAAAGGTTGTTGTATTTAAGAATGGCGGAAAACCGTCCAAATCAGAAAAGTGGCTTTATAACGGAGACTACTTAGAAGTTGTCAAAGGATATAAATATCTAGGGGTCCATTTTGCCAATACGTTATCATGGTATCACCATGATAATAGTGCTGCTTTGCAGGGACGAAAGGTTTTATGGGCATTTACAGTAATTTAAAGAAATTGGGCAATGTAAATTTCAAAACATATTTCAAAATATTTGATACAAAAATAAAACCAATTTTGCTATATGGTGCAGAGGTTTGGGAGTTTTCTCGGTTGGAAGCATTGGAAAAGGTTCACTTGTACGCTTGTAAAAAAGTCTTAGGAGTTAAATTAAATGCCCCAAATGTGATGATCTATGGTGAATGTAGTCGCTTCCCACTTTATCTAGAAGCACAGATAAAAGTTATCAAATACTGGGTAAAGCTCTTGAATATGCCTGCATCAAGATTTCCCAAGAAATGTTATAACATGATGTGTTTGTTTGACCCCAACGGAAAATCAAATTGGGTAACGAATGTTAGAAATTTACTAAATCATTTTGTTTTTTTGTGATGTATTTTTGTCACAAAAGATAACCTGCCCAAAGTCATGTTATAATGCTTTATCGCAAAGATTAAAAGATATGTACATTTAGACCTGGAATTCATCTTTAATACAGTCGCCCAAATACAGAGCAATACCTCCACGATATTATTAGAGAAATACCTCCACGATTCATTGTCCAGATACTACGTTGCATTGTCAGATGCTCTTCACATGAGCTTATGATCGAGAAGGGCAGATATTATAACATTCCAAGAGAAAACAGATTGTGCAAATTTTGTGCACTAAATGTAATTGAAGATGAGTTCCACTTTTTGCTGGTATGTCCTTACTATACTGATTTAAGGACAAAATATCTACCACAATATTACTATTCATATCCTACCATGTTTCAATTTAATTTGTTAATGAACTCTAATAATACAACTTATATTCGCAAACTTGGTATGTATATCCACCATGCTTTTAAACATAGAAAACAACGTTTGCAAACATTGTGATTGTTTGTCATTATTGTTCTCATACTTTGTACTATAGGCCTGTGGCCACTTCACTAATGGAATAAAGAGAGTTAACATGTCAAAGAGTAACTCCAAAACGTGTATTCGTGAAAACGACGCACTTTGTTAAACGCTCCCCGCCCTACATTTTTACGAATACTTTTGTGTTCGTCCCCAGTGGTACTGTACACTAAATCTTTTGAACCTAACATCTGACGCCTCCCCATCTTCTTCCAGCCGCTTTTCCCGAGTATGCCAAATCCTGCAGCGACTTCTTCAACCAGGGCATCATGGTGCCGGGGACCTACGTCGTGGACGGAACACCGGTCCATTGTATTATGTCAGGTAATGTTGGACATTCAGTCGGTGACATAACATTTATACTACTGTAGTTGCATAATATATCAACCCTCTCATGTACATACGTTTTGTTTCAGTACATGAAATTGTTTCAGTTTCATGAAATACGTTTTGTTTCAGTACACGCAGATTTAGTTCCGCTCAATCATCTTCAAGAAACCTTGTTTGACCCTGCAGAAATTCTGCCAGAACGAGCCAACGCTTTTACCTCTACATATCATGTTACATGTCCACTTTCTGTGAATTTATGTCCAACACTGTAACAGATGCTGTTTGCCTCTTTCTCTCCAGACAACTCCACCTGTCCCACCAGCCCAAACACGTCCTTCACAGGGGTGGGTCACGCAGGATACTGTGCTTTGTTTGGGTTCGAGTATAAGCATTCGGATGACGCCATGGCGATTTGTCGCAGCTGGGGCGGTGTCTTGGCGTCCATGAGGGACACGGAGGAGTTGAACTTCCTTCGACAAGCGATCAAGTGTAAGTTACTAAAAGTCGCGGAAAGAGATGCTATGGGAACGGTTCCCTCTGGACTGTACGATATTTCCTTTGTTAATAAGTATTATATATACTGAGCAGGGCTCCAGATAAGGGCTGTATTGGCGTATTTACCGATAAACAATATGCACTATACGGTAGGAAATAATTTAGAAAACGTAGCAGATACGGTGTACGGTCTTAGAATCATTTACAGACGTATTTATCTAAACCATATCAATCTGATTTCAAGCAGTGTCCTATCCTTTATAATTTACACGATAGCGACACATTGGGGTTCCCTTGTCGTCTTTTGGGAATCCCAGGTAGCTAAGGAAACCGCGCACCGCAGCGAATAATCTCGGTTAAATTTGATTGGTTAAAACATGGCGGTACAGAAACAAATCACAAGTTTTTCTGAAAAAACTGTGACTCGACGACTTGTAAACAGTCAAGATATAAAATTGCTATACAAACAATGAACGAACTGCTGACTAGTATCGTTTTGTCGTAGTCACACAGTCGGTATACATACATGGGCAAGTACTTCTTCTAGTGAATTAAATGAAACTGACAGTAAAAAAACACAAGGATTACAATGTTACTGCAAGAGACAGAATATTATTCCGCACTGTGCAGCAAAGGAAAAAATGACATCTCAAAATGAAAAAAACCCAACCCAGCAAATTACTTAAACTCCAAAAGGCAGATCTTCTTGGCACAGGTTATCAGAATTTGCCATGGGACACACAAGGTGACATACAGAACACTTCTGCAACTATTCTAACAAAAGAACTTTTGAACTTTTGACCAATAACATTTTGAATACAGTTTTGTAACAAAACCATGATAACACAAACAACAAAGTATTGTTTTATTGTTTATTGACCTATTTACACAAGAGTAGCAATGTTGTGGTGCAAATATGAAACGAAACACAAGATTACTGATACTCCATTAAATTCCATTCAGTACTCTAAATGTACTCTTAAGGTTTTCCAGTACTCCTGTATTGAAAAACTAAGGAGTACGTACTCCTGATGTTGATAAATTATCTGGAGCCCTGATATAGTCGTTCCAAAAGCTATCAGTGTAGAGCTGGGTCCCTTAGTTGGGCATGATACCTATCATCGTCGGAAACCAGATAGTCCGTAATTTTGTTTCGGAATTGGCCAGGGCCATAACCTCGCTCGCTGGTTTCACCAAAGTGATGAACGCAGCCTGCCATGAATTGGGATGTCCTTCCGGATCATGTCGTAATGCAACTGAGATACTGTTCAAAGCGATGTTGAACAAAACTTACTTGTCCCCACCAGTAATGTTATGATCTAGGAAACGATATCACATAAAATGAAATAATATAAACACTGCGCCCGTCTATGAATTCCAGTCCAACAGTTATACAACCAAGTTTTGAGGAACAGGCGAGCCTATCCTTTACCGCGTCAGGTACCGATCTTAAACACATACAAACGCCAATAAATCGTTCACAAACCCAGAAACAGAAATGAAAAGAAACACAGAAAATAAATTTAAAACAATATGTTTTCATTTGAATAACTCAAATTGTTTAAACACAACATGTATTGTTTTATTATTCCAGATTCCAAAACTTTAATGACAAGTAAATATGTGATGGTTGGTGCTCGCGATGAATTTCAAAATGGACTATTTTCTTGGGCGGACGGATCACTGATAAAGCAGGAGTTAGCTACTCTGGGCACAGACTTCACGGCTGGCACTGGAACGGTCAAAATGAGAACTGGGACTGATGTGTTGAAGATAGCGAATGCTGATGACATCAAACGCTTCCTTTGCACAACAGAGAAAGGCATGTATTGAAATATTAACACAAGTCGACTGGACAATGATTAGAGTCTCACAGATGGACCATAGGTATAAGGTTCCACAGTTCGATGTGCACAGTTGCGTCCCTTATCTGTGCAAGGATCCACTGATGATTTCATTTTGATATTTCGTCTACCAGCATTTCCTTCCGATTGGTAAACGTAAAGTTTGCAGGCCAATAACTGAATTACTGTCCAAAGCGGCCACAAACCCAACTCACTCACTCACCAATGCTGAAGAACACTAAAACTTACAAGCAGAACGATGACGAAATATGATGACTAGACCATAATTGCTTGAGTCAACAAAGTCGTTTTGTGTTTCAGAATATGAAGCTTGCTATGAAAACAACAACCAGATTGATCCAGTTGTAGCCAATTATTCAACAATGACCTTCACCTTGTGCCGACAACTCTGTTTGGGACAATCTAAAGAAGTAGTATTGCTGCATGTCGCCAACTGTTACTGCGCAAGTGTTCAACAGCTAACAAACTTTACTCAAGTAACCTCCGACCCAGAGTGTCAGGTCCGCTGTCCAGGCCACACGGGTCAGAATTGTGCTTCCGGGTCAAAACTGAGGGCATATCGAATACGTAAGATCTTGAGTCATTGCATTTGCAAGCCAGAATGCGACTTTAGGAACTTTCAGCTTTTAACGTTTGTCAAACTGTAAAATGTAAACAACTGTGTATGCAGGCCGTCCCCGTCCCCTGCCAGTAGAGCAGTACGCTTGCTGTCAAGGTCGACTAGACATGTTGGCTGTGTCTTGGTGGGGTTACCTTGGGGTGGGGAATCTTGCCTCCACCCCTTGTCTCCTGGGTTAATATTTATGCCATGATGTGTTATCGGGGAGTGGGGGATGGATGTAGCCTAGAGGGGTTTGCTCGTCACGAAGACCCGAGATCTATTCCCAACATGAGTACAATGTGTTAAGCTCATTTCTGGTGTCCCCCACTGTGCTATTGCTGGAATATTACTAAAATAGGCGTAAAACTAAATCCACCCACTGACATGAAATGTTATCGGTCATCTATTATATTATAAAGGAAGTGGTGAGGTGAAATGGGAATATGTCGCTTTTAAGAGTCTTTTGGTTGTACAGCGAAGTGCCAGCGAGCGTGTCTGCGTGCGTGCAGCGAGCGTGTCAGCGTGCGTGCAGAGAGCGTGTGCTAGTACTAGTCCGGGCTAATGCCTGATTTCAAGTGCAGGTCCACCGAGGCTCTGTCGTTGAACATATATATCCCACTACACAGTATACTGATTCCGAGCCGACCAACCTTGGTTTCATTCTGTCGTGGTATCCAAATTGCGTAGATCGATGGTCATGTGGTCAGACTCGATGTTTTCCAGAATCCGCCATATAGCTGGAATATTGCTGAGTGCGGCGTAAAACTAAACTCACTCACTCACTCACTCACTCACTAGCCCAGCCGAGCCCAGGCAGGGTAACAACAGTATTATATACCATTAAATATAGTAGGGGTTATTCCATTTTGCGAGCATACCACTAGACAATGCCAATGCATATGAGAAAAGTAATATATATCCACACAGAGGAAACAGTTCCAAAGGAATGGAATAAATTGTCACATTTTCCCTTAATTTCTCCTCATCATCTGTTTCCACCTTGACTTATCAATCTTGTCAATCCAATAACCCGTACTTTTTTTGGATGGTATATTTTAACCTAGTTAACCAACACGATTCCAAACTGCGGGAAGACGCTGTATCCACCTCTTCACACTGGTTGTCAATCGAGGAAGTCAATCGATCGGGTGTATGAAGATGGCGTTGACGTCTTCGAGTCACGTTAATATCTCGTTCATAACAACTGTTGTAACATTGTGTTTCTTTATATATTTCCGTTACCCAACATTAGATAACTAGTTGTAGCCGACTCTGTATGACTTTCTGTCCGACTTTCTACAGGGCATGATGATCTAGCCGAGAGCTGCAGCGTCCTCTACAACAGCGGAGTGCTGTACCGGGGACAATACCTCTTGAACAACGCGAGCACGGAGGAGTTTCGGGAGTGTGGATTTGATAGTAAGATGAACACCACTTACGATGGTAGCAGTTTGTGATTATATTGTCATGATGGATCCGTGTAGTAGGGCGGTTAAGGCAAAAATTGGCACAATTATATATTGAACATGTCATTTTGGCGGCAATCTTGGAATTTTGTCAACACAAGGGGGCGCTACATACTAGATGTGAATAACATACAGCACTGTTACGAATAGTCCTGAGTAAAATACCGAAGATGTCAATTATGCTATATGGAACATCGATTGACATCATTTGAGATTTCAGTCAAATTGGCAGCCATCTTGGATTTTCTGTCACCAGGGGGTACTGCTGAGGTGGATCCATATCCAGAAATGTTTGAAATTGTTCGATGTTTAAGTCTGCCAAGTTTGGTGCTTGTACCCCAAAGTGCATAAATTTGACAAAATATAAATTAAATTGGTATTGCATATTTGAAATTCGTAAGACATCTCTGCTGAAAGTAGAATCGATCGTACAATGAGTAATACTATGTATTTATGAATCATTGTCACCGAGTGATTATACCAGGTGTTCGCGGCAATACACAACGTCATATACACATGCAAAGGGTAGTCAATTGTTCACCTACCAAAACCACGGGGTCATATTGTGTAAGTCAGAATTAGGAATAGCCTCGGACATGCTTTGCGTCAAATTAGAAAATGCCCTGCATCTGTTTGCCATGAAACATTTTGACAGCTTTATCGAGGCCCCGGAAGTTTATAGACGTCTTTTTAGAAACAACTTTCTCGATTGTACCTCAAAAGTTGTGAAATGTAGACATCAAGGGCTGGCAATTCAGGAATATAGCTCGACACAAAGCGAAAGTTGACTTTGTAAAGATGAAGCCACCCCTCGTGTCATTTGGTCCCGAGGAGAGTGTTTTACCTCTCTGAATCGTTGTGTATGGATCTAAATATCAAACAGATGCGGCTTGTTCACTGGTCTCTTTTACTTTAAGTTCAGATGAGTAAATCAGTTTGGCTATTTGATGGTTACTGAACGATATCAAATCACCAATATTTACTTGAAGCTTAATTAAAATTTAATCATCTGTGCAAATTACCTTGTTTTGACTGTCAGTCCGAGCAAACATTCCGATTCGTATACATGAAAAACAGACCAACAAAAAGGGTAGAGCAGCTGGCGTCAATGGGGATGCCTTACACTTATTTGATCGTGTTACTTCCTAATGTACATAGATGTTATCAGAGAGTTTCACGTATTGTATTCTTTGTACATTATAGATAACATCTGCTTTCTCATTTGTGATAAATTGTACAAAAGATCTGTCTTTGGATCGATTTGTGTGGAACTTAAGAATACACAATACATCCCTTCGGGACTCCTTCAAGTCAGAAGTTGATACTGAATTTGATACAGATGCATGGCATGTCGCAATTTTACTCCTCGCTTAACATACTGGCGCTTTTGTTGCACGATTTGATACGTCACTTATACCAAGGGGAACACTTTGTATGGATAGACAACTTCGTTATTGCAATAGATGCAATCTTTCGGTGGAGATGCTAACACCTTTATCAAGCAAATGTACACCGAAACGTTTCATCAATAATTGCAATAAAGAAGTTTTCAATCCTTAAAAGTCTTCCTCTTCATCATACCAGGTTCTAAAAGGCACTTACAGGAGTCACCAAACAAGTAGATGCTTGCACATACTGGTATTCATTAGGGAAGTTAGTTCATACCATTGGGTAGCGGACAATAGGGAGTATGTAAATGTTATATGTGGAGATAGCATGTCTTCTAAAACATATTTCAGTATATTTGAGTGTACCGTATACCAGTTAGTAACAAAATCATATGAAGGTGTTCCATTAGCGAATGTACACAATTCGGTGCGGCAATATAGGGCCTGTAAGTCTTTCGGTACTAAGCTGGTTCCCGACTCCCTTTGCGAGCGCCACTTTGCGAGACCAGATCAAGTACCAGATTGAAGCGTATGTTCAAGAACCAGTTCTGGTTCCAAATTGCGCGACCGCCAAATATGACTTTACTAGACCGGACGAAGTGTACAACCATGCTTGGCTGTCACAGCTGTTGACAGTGGTAATAGTTTAAGGATGATTAGATCGGGAATTTGTTAATCCTGCAAGGATGATCGGTTCCTTACTGTCAACTGACAGCCATGAGACCATTCGAAAACATATGAAACGTTGTTTGTGTCTGGAAGTACTAAGGTCTCGAGAAGTACCGGGACCTATTTACGGGCCCTCTATATTCGCATCGATGAGCAGGCTCTCATCAGGTTGATGCACTCACACGCACGTGTTTATATGGAAACGTTTGTAAATGTTGGGGGTATGTAATGGATTAGATACCCGTTTTAAAGATATTTAGAACAATCAGTATCAAAAATGATAGAATTAAGACCCACTGTCGCAGACTTTCAGATATACTGTGTTCCAGCTCCTTCTAACATACTATGAAGAAGGCCGACTATAGTCGATGTGTTTCTATACATTTCGCAGTTCACGACATCAACTGTCCGACTGGCTGGATCGCTCACAACCAAAGCTGTATACAAATAAGTCCCAGTGCCAAATCTCAGGATAGAGCCGCCGAGTTATGCTTCCAGAACGGTGGGCATCTGTTTACTCCGAGATATCCGGATACCATCCAGTTCATTGCGAATCTAATAAACGCCGTCCCGGTTTGGGCGCATTACTCAAAATGGCGGACAGGAGCACGTGAGGTGATGCTGGAGGGTCACGTGATGCTAGCTGATGGCACATACATGTGGTCGGAGGAGTTGGCAGCTGACACGTTCAAGGACGACGGCTGCATCGTGGTCGACGTGGGCAATTTAACTCTACAGAGGTACAACTGTAGTATTGAGTTACCGTACATCTGTGAAACAGCACCAGGTAAGTGAACGGAGTGAGTGAGTGAGTTGGGTTTTACACGGCTTTTAGCAATATTCCAGCAATATCACGTAAGGGGACACCAGAAATGGGCTTTACACATTGTATATATGTGGGAGATCGAAACCGGGCCTTCGGCGTGATGAGCTAAAGCTTCAACTACTGGGCTATTAACCACTAGGACTATACCTCCGTACGGAATGGCTCCAGAGCAGTTATCTGCCTTCAACACTCTACTGAACTGTTATTCTTTCAGTTTCAGACACGTCTGGATGTCATGTGACAGGATCATCGCCTAGCAACAGTGTCACCTTACCTGATCAGATGTCAGTTTCACAATGTATGGAGTTCTGTAGGGGCCAGAATGAATCTTACTTTGCCCTTAACGGCAGCATATGCGAGTGTTACACCTCCTATGACGTCATCAGTTCGGGAGTATGTGATATAGGGTGTCGGGTCCAGCCCTACCAGCAGTGCGGATCCAATCGATCTGACGAATCCTCTTTCTACAACATTGGTAAGGACGTCAATAGTCATATGTATCCACTAGTTGAAATAAACTATGACTCGGGTGATGAACATTTCCAAGTGAGTTTGGTACATAAATCATGAAGATCCATGTAGGAATTGGTCTTCAATAACGCATGCTTGAGGCAGCTAATCGGATCTGGAGGTCAGACTTGGTTGGGTCAAAGCATGCTATCGTATCCAATTTGCCCAGATCGATGTTCATGTCAAATAATGTATTGATTGATCTACACACCATCGCCATGTAGATAGCGGCGGTAAACAGCAAAGCAACTAACCAACTCAGTTTCAGAGGGTGATACTGTAACATGAATATCTCCTGTTGCCAGCCATCTACACCACCACCATGTTGTCGTCCTGCACCCAGCTGCAGCAGTATGGCGTCTCCATGCCAGGCTGGTACCAACTGCAACACAACGTCGGAACAACACGTGTACAGTGTTTTGTCTATGGTGAGAAATACTTACGATTGCATAAATGTTCTTGTGTAATAAAATCTACCCCACTACACACACTGGATAGCTGTAGATATGAAACCTGAAACCTGGATCCCAATTCGTGGTAGCTGTAGCCGTAGTTGAGGTAGGTGGTGATGGAGAGGAGAGATTGGGGAGGAGCAGGTGAGCTCCGTGACGTCATGCTGGCTCGGTTACTTAGAGCTGTGGGTGTTGTGTGAGCGTCCTTTTCACAAAGCGACCGTATCGCTAAGGTGAACGTAACTCCCTTTCATTAACACAGACTTACGATAGTTGTAGCGTTACGGTCCCTCTGATAGGTGTACTTAACGTGTCGCGTAAGTTAATCGATACATTGAATTTATATATTCTTTCCAAGTTTACGGGAAATGTTTCATTTCAAACCAGCCAATAAAATTTTGTTTCCGGAGGTAAACCTATATGAAGGAAAACATACCATTTCTTCTTTATCAGGGTCAGGCTATGAGTCGATACTAGGGTCAAGCATTGGGAACATGTCTGCCTCCAGCGAGACCCCGGGCTACCCTGCTGCACACGTCAGGTAGGTGACGTGAACTGGGGCCTCAGGTTCCGATCCAGGTGATTGCTCTAACGACGTGACTGCGCACATCCGCGCGTGCGTGCGTCTAGAGCAGGTTTGAACAATGTTTCTGGTGATGTCAGGGATAAGAGGTTACTGCTTCAAGACGTACTTGTTGACATCATGTCCTGACTGATTGATAACAATATATGTGAAATGCCGGGATCGAATTCACATCCAGCGGATCTGGTCAGTCATGGAAGATAACTCTGCAAGTTATTGCACCATATATTAGGACCTGTCCGTGCGTTACACGGAAGATAGAGTAGGATTATGCGGCACTGTAAAATATAACTGACACTGGCTGTGTATCAGCCTGTAGTTGAGGTTCAGTGGCATGTATATGAGAAAATGCTACGAAGATATCACTGTTTCAGTGACATATATTATATTTTGATTCCTCTCTCCTCCCAGACTGGGCTCTGGCCTGGTGTCCCCGAGCAGCTGGAAACCCGCCGATACCCCCTCGTGGCTGCAGGCGGATTTGCCCGCCCACTACCTCATCAAGTCGGTGCTCATACAAGGTCAGTGATAGTATATTAAAGTATGTAGTATAAGGTACACATTATTATTATATAGCTAGAGCATACTTTAGCTGGGTGACCCAGTTAGCTAAAATTGCCGATTTCCAATGTAATATATTCTCTGCTGGCACGAATTCCCCTTCCGCTTGTGATACTAACATTTTCAGTACGTAGTAATCAAAGTTTTGAAATTGCTTATCGTTAGAGCCGACTAAAGTAACAGAGACACTGACTACATGTGCACTTACGTCATCAGCTTGGATTGTTGGTAATGATATCGACCACATGTTTGCCCTGCAAGACCTGGACAGTTGCAGCCGCCAGAACAAGGCTGGCACGTGGCTGATCCACCCGCTGATCCACGCTGTGCTCCAAGTATCCGAACCTTTGAATACTTCACATCTAATGCATGACAGTACATATGACTGCCTTCTATATCAATGTATGTGTCGCCTGCAGGGGGGCAGTCCCTCACGGAACAGGCCTGGGTGACCTCCTTCAGCCTCCAGCACAGTGTTGACAGCGGCGGCGAATGGACGCAATATTCAAATTCGGTACGTGCACTTTTTCCATTGCTCGACAAAGAATATGTTTTCTGATTCAACTGTTTTTGGTCTTGTAAAAACATACTCGTAAAGCAAGCAATATAACTCTACAAGACGGTCTTCAGAGTACATGTACTACCAAGATGGTCAACTTCGGCGAATGACTGGTTTGTCTTTCAAGACTAGAATATGTACGGGCTAGTGTCATATAAGTGGATCATCGACGTGTGCGGTTTAAACAAATATAAGAAGAAAAGCAAAACAGAAAAAACAAGCAAACAAACATAGAAACCTATCTTGTCTGTTCCAAAGAGATCATAATAATAATGATAACCACATGCGTTTTGCAAATTATTATCATTATATTTTATGTCAGTCTTGACCGTGACCATTTGTCGTACACACACAACAATCATGTTACCAGCTGAGCGGAAACACGGACAGATCAACAGTGACAAGCCATTTCTTCCCAGACCCTTTCGTGTGTGACAGTGTCCGACTGGTTCCAGAGACCAGCGCCACTGCCGCTGCCCTGAGACTGGAGTTTCTTGGGGAGCTCTACCTGAACTTCAATCGTAAGTGTCCCAGTGTCGTGTTGTGTTGTGCTTATGATACAGTGTGGTCATATGTAGAAATATATGGTACAATATGTTGTTTTACGCTGCACAATATGAGGACGGACTGGAAATAAGGGAGTCTGAACTGAAACGTGCAGTGACTAACGTCACGATCTTTGAACTTCGAAGACGATGCTACGCAATCACCCAAGGACCACAGAATCGGATCACTCTCAGATCGGTACCAACAAACACACACTTTTAGAAATTGACGTATTGTAGATTCACAATAGCATAATGTTACATAACATTTTCTATCCTAACTGTGCAAGCATATGTGCATACATGAATATGTAGATATTGTCTGCTGGAGGAAGCTTTTTGGAATTAACAAGGCACTGGACTTTGGTTGTCAGGCTCTGTGGCATGTTTGTCCCTTCCACTCCTGCTACCAACCACTGATCTATTAGCCGCTATTACAGGCGGCCGAGAGTGCGACACAACATTACAGCAATACCAACAATACTGCATGTGTTTTAATGTTGTGATCGTTTCCAGATTCGGATCGCTATATTGGCTGTTTCCCGGACTCAGGGTTTGTGTCCCAGGGGACAGTGACATCAGCAGACGACTGCCTTGCTCTGTGCACATCGACAACCAAGTACCCATTCATGGCCCTAGGTAACTATAGCGCTTGCACTGTATCCCTTTGTGTCTGGGTTATTATGCCAGTCACAAGCCTACAATTATTATGAAGGTAACAAGTGTGATCTTAAACCAAAAGGATAACAATTTACCACTTCTTGGTCCTGTTGTAATGTCAGACTAATAATTAATGCATATCCATCAGAAGGTATATCTGAACAATTATCACATATCCATGGGTTTATATGTCTGATGCCACAACATAATTAGACCAGTTGCACGTTCTTCCACAGCCGACGCTGGGGGGACGACGGAGTGCATGTGCGGAACTTCTGTTGGTCATTACGGTCAAGCCATCAGCAGTCTTTGCAATGATACATGTGTCCTCTTACCTGGTGGATACAAGTGTGGTCGGACACTGGACAATGTTCTTGCTGTCTACAGGACCTTCGGTGAGTTGATTTGTATCTTCCCCGGCCCCCCACAGGATGCTTCACATATGAATATCGGATTCTGACAGGCTGAGGTGACGTGAGGTGAAATTGGGTTTAACGTCGTGCTTGAGAATATTTCGCTCATATGACGACGTGCATGCGTGTGCATGTGTATGTGCGGCTGCTTGTACTAGCACAGACTTAAGCTGGTTTTATAGTGCTAGCCCACTGAGATACCATGCATAGTGAAGCATGAATACCCCACTCAGACACATTATACTGACTCCGAGCCGACCAGTCCTTGTTGTACCCATTAACGCGATTTCCAAAGACGCTACTGAATTTTGGATGAGTTAATTGATAATGACATGGGTGTGACAAGATATTATAATAAATATATACGACGAGTACGTCGGTGAACGTCGCAGATGCCGAGTCACAGAACTATCATACCAGATGTTAGACGACGAGGTAGTCAGTTATTGTCATTCTCTGTCCAGCTTGTGTACAGGACATATTGTCATTATAGATGTTAGACGACGAGGTAGTCAGTTATTGTCATTCTCTGTCCAGCTTGTGTACATGACATATTGTCATTATAGATGTTAGACGACGAGGTAGTCAGTTATTGTCATTCTCTGTCCAGCTTGTGTACATGACATATTGTCATTATAGATGTTAGACAACGAGGTAGTCAGTTATTGTCATTCTCTGTCCAGCTTGTGTACATGACATATTGTCATTATAGATGTTAGAAGATTAGGTAGTCAGTCATTGGCATGGACTCTTCTACGGAGGACATTCCTATAACTCTTGACCTTTCTATCAATGCAGAGAAAAGATGCCAGGAAATATCAACTCCTGCCAACGCAACATCGACGGTGACGAAGGTCTTCAACGTTGCAGGCGTCATGACGTTCCAGACACAGATCACCTACTCATGCGTTACTGGTTTCGAGTTCCCAGACCTCTCAACGTCCAAGTCTGTTCTATGCCTTCAGTCCAACCTGTGGAATGACTTGGTTCCAGATTGCCAAGGTTGGGGTTACAGAAATACCGTTAATTGGCTTAATGACATGATACTCTAAACGCCACCAGCCCATTGTCTTCAATACCCGAAATAATGTCGTTATTGTTTCATGCATATTATTCTCAGAAATTATGTCATCATTCAAGGACATGACATTCTTCCAGATGACAGATGAGATTAACTTGCCAAGTCAAGGGAGGTAACTGACTTCAGACGTCCAATTGTGATGCGGACACTCTTTCGTAGTCTGTTAACTCCCCTATCTCGGGAAGATGCATGTCCCTCTAATAAGCCCACGGTGTAACAATGACCTTTATACGACAAACTGTTTCTAGAAATACTGTTGTTTCCTCAGTGAAGTGGCATGCTGTACAAGCCATATATAGTGCAGTATAAATTATGCGTGTGTTGATAAACGGTTAACAATGGTCCAACTACATAATGGCAATCTGTACATGTAACGCTCTGGACCAGAAAAACAGCAATTGATATGACCATCGATCCCCATTTTGTTATAATAACATCCTATGAATCAAGTCACCGTGTGTCACCGATCTATTTAGTCGCACAGCATAGCAAGGGGACATTTATACTTATACGGAATTCCCGCTAGTTTAGTTCATGGCAGGGTCTGAGGGGTTGCCTTGTGGTTACGCTGTGGGTCCGGGTTCGAGTCCATACTTGGGTATGTGTGTGTCCCCTACACTGATATTGCTGGGATCTTACTAAAGACGGAAGTGCACCATACTCACTCACACATCACAATGTATAGCTGGTATGCGCATGTTGCCCTGATGTGATCACTTCCTTTCATTTGATTACACAATGCCATTTAGAAAGTGGTCAAATGTAACATATGTTATATTTGGGATTACACTTTCTCAGTAAAGTACAGATTCTTGCACCTTTGTTGGGTTGAGATCCATCCGGGATTCGAACCCACACCCTCAGAGTCAGCCGCCTAACCTTCTCAGCAACCGCGACTTCCACCATTCCTTTCATTTGTTTATCAAACAATATTAATTTTGCTCTGTACCAGTGAAACACTGCCCAGCACTTGCGGACGCCCTCAGAGCAACACGCGACAGCAACGACACCATGTACGGCTCAGTCATCACCTACACCTGCGATCCTGGTTATGTCAACAGTGGCGGCTTGACGACCCAGACTACGATATGCAGCGACTCCAAGACGTGGAGCGTCACCCCGGATCACTGTACACGTGAGTTACATCGGGGGCGTGTCTACTGCCTAAACATGTTGTATAGTGAAAACATAACCTCCCTTATATATCGTAGGGCATGTAACACTGATAGTAAAAATGACACTAGCTGCATTGTAGAGAGCAACGGCCACTTGCTCATTTGAAATATCTCCCCTACTCACTGAATATATATAGAACAGGCATGCTAGTTCTTATATAAACACCATCAGTTAAGAATTATTGTGTTTGCAAAATAACCTCATTTGGAAAAGGCGTAAAGTCAAAGTCTGGAAAACTTGTTCGCACTGCTAATGTAGCTGAATACACTCTACAGCCCGTCAGTGTGACGCTGTGCCTGTCTTGGAGAATGCCGAGGTACTGGAGAACGTCGCCAGCGTTGTCTACGGCGACGTCATCACCTACAAGTGCCGACCCAGCTCCATGTTCTCCGACAACACCACTGTGAAGACGGCTGGGTGTGATCATGATGGACATTGGTCAGAATCTGCTGCTGGCTGTCAATGTGAGTCGGCCCAGTTAAGATCAGTTGGTAGAAGCGAGTCTGGAACCGTGACTGGGTACACCCTGGATGTGGTTTTCGCGTGAAGGTTTTCTGTAAGCGATTAGTATAACGACACGTTCTGCTGTAACGAGCCATAATATATCAGAGTGATTAATATTTGTCCGTTATTAGTTCAGGATATGCATGTAACTCACCTCGCGATGGCTTTTTGTAAGTGCTCAGTGTCTTTTAAGTTACTAACGTGTAGCGAGTGCTAGGTGATGACTGGATGCTAGTGCTGCTGACAGGGCGCTTGTGTTGATGACGGAGTAGTTGCTGATAGAAACAGGTGCTAATTATAAGAGTTGATGACTTAGTGCTTTTGGATAGTCCCTAAATACTGTAGCTGATGACCAACTGCTTGGTGATGTTGACCAGATCTTGATAATGATGACCTAAGAGCTTACTGATAGCGACCGAGTGCTCGGTGATGACGACAGCATATTAGATGATGACGACAGCGTGCTTCGTGAGGACGACGGAGTGCTTGTGATGCTGACACCTGGAGCGTTTGTTCATGGTGACAGAGTTCTTATAGATGATGATCAAGTGCTTGCTGGTGATATTAGAATAGGAGTACTCAGAGATGTTGACCAAATGCTTGTTGACGATGACAGAATGTCTCCTGTATCTCCAGACTACCAGTGTCCCGGAGCCCCATACCTCCCGGGGGCGGAATCCCAGTACCTCGACCCTTTCATGGTGCGCTACACCTGTAAGTCTGGCTTCTCCTTTGACGACGGATCATCAGAAGTCAACTGCACGTGTGGCCCCGATAACACATGGTCTGACGTCACTGTGACGTGTGTGTTCTCAGGTAGGCAATGCAGCCATTCTTAGTACGATATAAAACACGATAGCTGCTACATCAAGCTAACTTCTTAATGAAATGTATTTTGTTCGTTTCTTTCTTCGAATTGCGATTACAATACATCGGAGGCCTTAGGGGCCGTATATCTTCATGCAAGATACAAATCGAATACAAATCGAATCAAATTGTTTGTCTGTCTATGGTCTCACTAACAAACAGCTTCGACCCCTTGATATAACGGTCGGAATCGCCCTTGACACCTTAACAAGACTGTGATACTTCGTTGTCTCCGATGGTCCTTGACCGCCTCCGTGGTGTAGTGGTTAGAGCGTCCGCCCGGAGAGCGGAAGGTCGCGGGTTCAATCCCCGACCGCACGTTAAAATATGGGGTACAGCTGGGTACAACAAGGACTGGTCGGCTCAGAGTCAGTATAATGTGTCTGAGTGGGGTATTCATGCTTCACTGCGGCATGGTATTTCAGTGGGCTAGCACTATAAAACCAGCTTCAATCTGGGCTAGTACAAGCAGCCGCACATACACATTCACACGCATGCACGTCGTCATATGAGCGAAATATTCTCAAGCACGACGTAAAAACCAATCTCACCTCACCTCACCGATGGTCGTTTTTAACAGCCGCTTGCTCGTGTTAAGATTGTAGAATGTATGCTGTCTCATGTACTTGTTGCAGCATCGACTCTGAAGCGTGAGTCCAGCGTGTGTCTCAGCAGGAAGGACCACAGGATTGTGGGAGAAGTGGTGCACACGTCGTCACGGAGCAGTCTGGGGTGCGGCGTCATGTGCCTTCAGAACCCGGCCTGTCGCTTCTACAACTACCACAACAACCAGTCGGTCACCGATAACTGTCAGTTGTACGTTGACACGACAGCGTCATCGATCTTTGAACCTAACGCTGGGTGGAACACTTACAACCTCAGGGACACGTGCTAGATCCCACAGGACGTGTCCAGCAAGGATGGGGTGTCGGCCAAGGCGGGTGTACACCATCACAGACAATACACAAAGGAAGACCTCGACCAAACTTCAGGAAACTCTCGGGGTCACCCATAGACAGATTTACTTAGAAACAATTATTGACAGTTGCCTTTAAGCAATGCTGGCATTTGGCAAATTTTATGCTGGTTGTTGGTTATTGTTTTTGTCAACAATGCAAAAATTCAACAGCTAGCAGATGTCGTTTATGCAGTTGCGTTAATACTGCTAATCACTTAAAAACACCTAGCTGCACGTGCGTTAGTCCAGGTGTGCAGTGATGGGTATTCAGGTAACATATCGTATCGGATTCCGTCCCCAGTGTCAAAATGAGCCTCTCAGATGTACGTTGTTAATATGCAGGATATTTTCAGCGACAACTCTAACCGTTTTCTCACTGACGATGTCTGGCGCTGGCGTTCATGCGTGCTTTTCAGACAAAATAGATGCAGTCGTCTTCATCTCTCAGTAAAGATGTATACTACGAGAGCGGTTTGCTGAGTACGGCGTTTGACAATATGCTGTGACTGTCAGTGACGATACACATTCCTGGTGATTTACATTTACAACATATACTGCCAGATTAAATACTGGTCGAACAAGATGATAAACAGCTGTGGTTCTTCCAGTGCGTCCGTACACGCAGACATGATGGAGAACACAATTGTGGTCATACACTGCTCTTGAAATAGCGTTTTCTGTGAAGTCAGTCAGACAGACAGGCACAACAGTCAGACAGACGGGCGCGACAGTCAGACAGACGGGCGCGACAGACATAACACCTGCATTAAGCTGGACATGGTATCATCAGATTGCATGTTGTAGTAGTTGGTGTCCTCAGACCTCAAATGTAGGTGTCATTGTTATTTCTTATACATGTTGATAAATACGAAATCTCAGTGGGACTGTTCCGTTTTTTATTGTCATATTAAGATTGCTTGGCAACATGGAATATTTTGACAACGATTGCATTTGGAGACGATATCTTGTGACAATAAGTCATTACAGATGCACAGCTTGTATTAATATCCCTTATCATAAAATATTTATACGGTTATGTCACTGTGACCTAAAGTCGTCTGTACTGCCACAACTAAGCCATGATGAACTACTTTGAACTGCGCATGAAGTCGTTGTGGCTAGTATGTATCTACGGGTTATCAGTGTTTGACAGTACCCCTTCGTATCTCACCATAAGGTCCAGGTTGCATATTCAGGTTTAATAACTTCTTCGCAGATTTATCTTCGCAGACTTCATGTCCTGATGTACTGTGAGAGATGGCATGTGCTTGCCTCACTTTAATACCTTCTGAAAGGTTCTGTCATGTGATGGATTAGTCTAACGGTTCCAGGAGCTTCGCGTTTACTCATGACTAAATATAGTAACTAACTCATCACTGCTCACAACTGAATCATAGCAAAAACAATAATACAATTACATTATTGGTGTATAACAAATTTCACTACCTCATGACGGGCTATACAAGATATATAAGACAAGGAGGAACAAGACCCCCACGTGGCGCTCATTCACAGAATTTTAAAGCTGGTACCAATCACCCTGTTTGATGACTGGCATTCATGGGGTAAATCTCCGCCGGTGTGGCAGGAAAACAACCAAACCCTTTTACGATAAAATAACTCGTCTGGAAAAATCCAAACTATGCAATAAATATGTTTGGAAATATTATAACTGGAAAGGGGTATAACATGCCACAGAAGATATCCACAGTGGTGTTACCACTTGAGTGTGTCTGTGTGATATGGATGTGAGTTGTATTCACCAGATGCTGCTGCCACACCTTGAATGTCAGCATAGCATTGTGACCATTCCACTCTCCGACAAAACACACAGCCATGCCAGTAGCCACATAGCATTGTGACCATCCCACTCTCCGACAAAACACACAGCCATGCCAGTAGCCACATAGCATTGTGACCATCCCACTCTCCAACAAAACACACAGCCATGCCAGTAGCCACATAGCATTGTGACCATCCCACTCTCCGACAAAACACACAGCCATGCCAGTAGCCACATAGCATTGTGACCATCCCACTCTCCAACAAAACACACAGCCATGCCAGTAGCCACATAGCATTGTGACCATCCCACTCTCCGACAAAACACACAGCCATGCCAGTAGCCACATAGCATTGTGACCATCCCACTCTCCGACAAAACACACAGCCATGCCAGTAGCCACATAGCATTGTGACCATCCCACTCTCCGACAAAACACACAGCCATGCCAGTAGCCACATAGCATTGTGACCATCCCACTCTCCAACAAAACACACAGCCATGCCAGTAGCCACATAGCATTGTGACCATCCCACTCTCCGACAAAACACACAGCCATGCCATAATGCCCAGCACAAATACGTTGACGTGTTTATGAATATAAAATAAAAACAAAACATCCTGAATACAACTATACAATACAGAATACAGGAAGTATAATGGGAGTGCGTATATGCTGGGGAGCGTCTTCATCTGCACATGGGGAGCGTTATGATGCTGACTGGAGTGATCTGATCCCAGGATATCTCTTGAGTGATTGTGTGACTTGATCCTCCTATCTATGTTCAACTGGTGAATCGTCCTCAGTGGGTTAATCCTATACAAGGCCAGTAACAGCAGACACACATTTAAGTTCATGCGCATCACAACAAACATGTACATGTATTTATGTTGAACACGGCATTAGAGCCCATTTCTCCTCACCTCCTGGAGAAAGTGATACGGTGTAATGTTGGCTGATATCTCATCCCCATCCCCAGCTGTCTCAACTGCTGCAGGTAAACAATCCCACCCTGACACATGCACAACAACCTGGTGAGTGAGTGAGTGGGTTTAGTTTAACGCCGCCCTCAGCAATGTTCCAGCTATGTGGCGGCAGTTTGTAAATAATCGAATCTGGACCAGACAATCCAGTGATCAACAGCATGAGCATCGATCTACGGAACTGGGATACGATGACATGTGTCAACCAAGTCAGCGATTTTGACCACCCGATGCCGTTAGTCGCGTTTTACCACAAGCATGGATTGCTGAAGAAATTATAACCCGGATCTTCACGGGTTGACAACCACCTGGGGTGATACGACACCGGTTCGGCATATACAATATATATAACACATATGCAGTAAAGAATGTTCTATGCAAGCCTATAACGAAACGACGGATAAAACAAACATGTTTTTGTCCGGCCACTTGCAGCATGTTTCAGTCGAATGCGTAAAAGGAACTACGGTTATAACGAAGTAAACCCGTGTCCGTTTGAGTTCGTTTTAGCCGGAGTTTACTGTATAAGATATTTTTATATTATAATATCAACCAAATACATCAATTTATCTCCCTTGTATTCACGTTAATCCACACGCAGAAAGCCATTCACACTATAATTGTAGATTGATGTTAATGATACTATCGTTTTTCCGTAATAATGTCCTCAATAGCCGTTGTTTCAAAACTTTAATTGCAAACATTGTGCTGGAAATGGATCTCAGCTTGTAATACCGTCCACTGGTATATCCAGGCAGATCCAAGGAACTTGGAGATCCTGGAAGGGTTGACTTGTAGCGAGTATTGGATACATTGAGGGATGAATGCTACAATACAACAACACTGGACGGTGGGGTAGCCTAGCTGGTCAAACTTAACTTCGTTACGCCAAACACCAGGATTCCATTCCCCACACCATTATAATGTCAGAGGCCCTACCTTGGTGTGTGCTACCGTGACACTGCTACCTGCAACCTCATACTCACACACTACACAAAGTCTCATTCTTTAAAGGTGTGCAATTACAGCTGTATGCATTAAATTCTCAGTCGCCTGAAGGAGTGTGTATACATTCCATCATCAGTATTGACATAAGTGTTTCAGGTCCCTTTCCTAAGCTGCAGAGGTACCGGTCTAGCGGATGAAAATGATTAAAAACAAACACAGAAAATAAAAATAAATAATAGCTTTGTTCAGGAAACATGGTTGTCATAAAAAATGCGTTGCATTAAATTTGAACGTTTGCATCAAACGTTACTGGCTATGAATTTTTCAAATTGAACGATTCAAATTATATATATTATATTTCTGACATTGTTAGCGGCGATGACATTGAAAGCTTAGAGGATGGTTTATAGGCCGGACAGCATTCCATAAACCGAATGATGTAATGCACATACCGTTTCCTGATTGGCCAAGAGAAGAGTGGGCGGGGTTCGTGCTGATTTATATTCCTCTTAGTGATGTCACTGATTTCGTATAGTTGTCTACAATTTTGTGTGAAAATGAATAAATATATAAAAAGCCGTCACTGAAGTTTTTTGATATGTTTATTTTGGATTTGTTGATACAGTCTACTTACCTGGTTTTAGTTTTATATTGGTGTCAATTCTTAATTAATATTGTGTGGTAAGTATGGTCGAAATATCACTTGCGATGGACTGTAATAACATTCTTACCGTGATTTAAGTACACGGCACACAAAGTATGCCTGTTTTACGTAATCTGAATAACGGTGTAGGGGACACGGAATTTCATTAAGTTTATTCTATATGGCGAGTGCACAGAGATAGTAAGAGTGCTAAGTTGTGTGTATGTTCCGTCCACTATAAGTAAGTAGTGGCGGAGAAAAAGAAAGTTCCTTATCATGAATACCATGTCAAGAAGCTAATGGTACCCTCCATCACGACGTCAACGGTGATAGGAATGTGACGTCCTCAACTACCTTGATGCCACAAACATATCACACCCACAACAATGTCTCCATTATGTCAACAGCGGTATATGTATTATGTCAGAAACTAAACATATATTACCCAAATAGTGCTCACATCTGATGCTTGCTCAAATCAGGCCATCGTTAACTGTTTCCTCGCACCTGCATATCATCAACTGTCCCTTTAGACCTCTTTATCAACACCTGTCCCTTTAGACTTCACTATCATCACCTGTCCCTTTAGACTTCACTATCATCACCTGTCCCTTTAGACTTCACTATTATCATGTGTCACCTTAGACGTGGATATTATCACGTGTTCCTTACACCTTCACATTAATATCTTTCACGCGCAAGGGACTGACTTGGGTACAAAGTCTCGCAAAAGGTCTCAGGACTATTTGATAAATAATGTAGCAAAAAGTGTCTGTTTAGCAGATGAAAACAGCATTATAGCCTCTGGCAACACGCTGAGAAAATATTCTCATATTGAAGGGTTTGATTGATAAGTCGTCCGTCAAACCCGAAGGCTCTGCCTCACTATCATACAACCATGAATCTTTCTGTAGGTCGGTAGCTTCATCTCACCATCGAACAACCTGGAATCTTTCTGTAGGTCTGGTAGCTTCATCTCACCATCGAACAACCTGGAATCTTTCTGTGGGTCTGGTAGCTTCATCTCACCATCGAACAACCTAGAATCTTTCTGTAGGTCTGGTAGCTTCATCTCACCATCGAACAACCTAGAATCTTTCTGTAGGTCTGGTAGCTTCATCTCACCATCGAGATGACCTATCTCGCTATTACCTTGGGTCTGTCTGTATGTCAAGTAGATCTATCTCGCTATTGTACAACCTTGAATCTGTCTGTATGTTAAGTAGACTATATCGCTGCTGTACAACCTTGAGTCTGTCTGTATGTCAAGTAGACCTATCTCGCTGCTGTACAACCTTGAGTCTGTCTGTATGTCTTGCAGACCTATCTCGCTGTTGTACAACCTTGAATCTGTCTGTATGTTAAGTAGACCTATCTCGCTATTGTACAACCTTGAGTCTGTCTGTATGTCAAGTAGACCTATCTCGCTGTTGTAAAACCTTGAGTCTGTCTGTATGTCAAGTAGACCTATATCGCTGTTGTACAACCTTGAATCTGTCTGTATGTCTGTAGACTATCGCTGTACAACCTTGGAGTCTGTCTGTATGTCAAGTAGACCTATCTCGCTGCTGTACAACCTTGAGTCTGTCTGTATGTTAAGTAGACTATATCGCTGCTGTACAACCTTGAGTCTGTCTGTATGTCAAGTAGACCTATCTCGCTGTTGTACAACCTTGAGTCTGTCTGTATGTCAAGTAGACCTATCTCGCCGTTGTACAACCTTGAATCTGTCTGTATGTTAAGTAGACTATATCGCTGCTGTACAACCTTGAGTCTGTCTGTATGTCAAGTAGACCTATCTCGCTGCTGTACAACCTTGAGTCTGTCTGTATGTCTTGTAGACCTATCTCGCTGCTGTACAACCTTGAGTCTGTCTGAGTCTGTATGTATGTCAGACCTATATCGT